AAAGTAAAACTGCTAACGAATTCAGAAGATAACAATGAGCAGGAGCTATGCAATGGACAATGCCACTGATAATTTTACAGAAACAAAAGTATACGTGAAAAAGAAGAAACATTTTAACTAAAGAATTCAAAAAATTGATTTTGAAAATGAAGCTTTCTGGTTTCTTAGTTTGTAGCTTTTGGTTTGTGGAAAAGTGGTGTACAAACCTATGTGTGTGCATGGTCTATGGACACACATCTTGCTTATAACACATAAACATTACATGAAAGTGAAGAAAAGTTACTGAATGCTATGTTATACACTTTTTATTAATCGAAAAATTGTTGTTACAATTTTGGACAAGGAGAATTTGCATGACTCTTATGACTTTTTATAAAGTTTCGATTAATAAATAGTTTGGGTTTTGAATCAAAAAGAGAATCGTGTTTTTTTCCCTTAGTGAATTGATCACAATCAAAATAGATTGTGAAATACTTTTCATAGTTGTGAAAATTTTGTACAATTACATTTGAATCATAACTCGTGTCTCCTCCTCTTTAGACATGAGATAAATTGAAGCGCCTTTTTAAACATGATATGTGTTTGTTTTGCCTTTCTTTTGACAGATTAACTTTCTAACTATGAACTCTAAAGTAGAGAATGTTGTTTGTGATATGATTGCAAATGTTGTTTTTCATATGATTTCAGAACGGATTGTATCGGATTCGTTATCGTGAAGATCACGTTTATTTGAACGAAGGCACTACTGAATTCGTGAGAAGAGCGTATAGATGCCCTGATGCGTTCCTTGGCTCCTATTTTATCATACATTACCTGTCGGTGGATATTGGTGGCGACTCTGGTGTTGAATCCGGATCTGAAGACGAAGCTGACAATGTACCCAGATAACGAACCTCCACATACATAGGAGCCTGAAGAGGAGTACAACAATCCGGATGTGTCTCCTCCTCTATCTGACCCTCCGTCAGAGCCTAGTGAAGAGGAGGAAGACAGTGAGGTTGTTGACTACATGCTGAAGATTGCTTTCTGATACTTGATTAGAAGGTTGGTTAGCCTTCTTAAGTATGTCGTTAAAAGACATATTTCCTTTTCATCAAATCTCTTCTTGAAGTTTCTTGAAAATGAAGGCCTATATATCAAGAATCTTAGTTTGTAGCTTTTGGTTTGTAGAACAGTGTTGTACAAATCTATGTGTGGTCTATAGATGCACATATATTGCTTATAACACAGAGACATTACATGAAATTACTGTTTCAAAAAAAAAACATTTCTTGAAATTATTTAGCAAAAAAAAACATTACATACAATTTGAAGAAAAGTTACAGAATCCTCTGTTTTACACTTGAACAACAAAACCCTTTGGTACTTGTATGC